CTCCCAGGTCACATAAGATTTAGGCTCATAATTGGCCCAGTGTCACTTATTGGTTAAAACCAATCAGAGGCCAACCTCCATTCAAAGTGGAAGGGAACACAGAAGGACACGACTATGGGAGGCCTGGTTCTCCTGCCCCTGACTACATGTCCAGTAGCATTTATGGAGGTCTAGGTCTGCATTCATGGTTCTGCTTTGGGCCGCAACCTCAAAGTCAGCAGTCGAACCACCAAGTACTCCTTGGAAGAAATATGAGGCTTTATACTCCTGTAAAGAGTTACAGTCTCAGAAACCCATAGGGACAATTCCACCCTGTCCTATAGAGTCACTATGAATCAGCATCAACTCAATGCCAGTGAATGAGTGAGTAAATTCTATATGAGTATAATAATAATAATAATAAAATAGATCTCTCTCCCTTGGATTACTTCATCAGGAATAAGAAGAATACACAGTGGATGGTGTAAGATATGAAAATAATGATAATTTATCATTTTTCAAGGGTTCATTAGGGTGGGAGGGTGGGCGAAGGAGGAAAAAAATGAGCTGATACCAAGGGCTCAAGTAGAAAGAAAACGTTTTGAAAAGGATGATGACAACATATGTACAAATGTGCTTGACACAATGAATGTATGGATTGTTACAAGAGCTGTAAGAACCCCCAATAAAATGATTTTAAAAGAAAGAAGAACACACAGACAGACATTCAGACACACACTTTCTAGAGCATTACCACCCAACCTGTAAAATGACTAGCCCTTTAAGAGGGTGAAGGTGTGCGTGCTTTCTAAAGAAAGATTAAACACCATCCTTTCTCAGCTGCCATTTACAAGATCTCTGAAATGTACTATCTCATTTGATGTTGCTCTCCACCCCCATTTCAGAGATGAGGAAACTGAGGCTCAAAGACATCAAGCAACTTGCTCACCAGAGTGATGGGGCCAACACTAATGTCAGAGTTTCCTTATTCCATCAAAGAGAATTATTACTAAATATTTGGATCCAGTCTGAAGCAATTGAATCCTTATAGGCAAAATTATCCGATCCAAAGCGTTGGTAGTTGTGATAGGTAGGTTTTTTGTGCCAACCTGGCCAATGAACACGTGGGATTAACTGAAGGGCGGGGAGCTAAATGGCTCAGTAAGCCTCGCCTTTCTCGTCTCTAGCTCTTTGATGATCGGACCAGTGTGCAGCTGCCGTAGCTTGTTCTGTGCCTCAATTTGCAAACTACACTACCTGTGGGACACCAAACCCATGGACTATGTCGCTGTAGATTCAGGTTCCTTAAAGACCGGTTTCACCACGCTACTGGAGTATGCATCGCTTGAGCTGGGGACTGTTGGACCCTGTCATCTGGTTGACTGTTGGTGACCTGCCCTTGCTGTTTGCTGCCTGTGGCCAGATAGCCTGAATTTCTCTACAGTGGACTCAGCTGTCTGCTTCCTTGACTTGGACCCAGCACCCCTCAAGACTTGTAGGACGTGCTGTCTCACAGAAGTGAGTTGCACTGTGTACTGTTCTATAGATTAGTTAGCTGTTTATTTCTTATGTTATATCTATCTGTCTGTCTGTCTATCTGTCTGTCTATCTATCTATCTATCTGTCTATCTATCTAAATATATATAAGATCATTGGTGTCCTGGTTTTGTTTCTCTAGAGAATCCTGTCTAACATAGTAGTATAGTGGTTAGCATAGCTACCTTCCAAAACTATCCGAGGTCCCTCAACTAGAATCTGTTTTTCTCTTCAAAGAGAGCAGACACGAAAGAAAGCTCAGGGTCTGGCACATAGTAGGTGTTGAGTGAACTCACGGCCCCCCTGTTTCCCACACAGGGTTTCTTCAAGGCTCGCTGCCATTGGTCCAAAGAAGCCCGCCAAGGCGGCCTGGTGGCAGATGTGAGGGATTCCCTTTCTGATTGGATGGCAAGCTAGGAGAGCACATTTGAAAGTGCTTCTCCGCACTCACAGTCTTCCCAACCAACATTTGGTTTTAAAGCCATTTGTCCCTGGAAAGCAAAGGAAAGTAACAGATTGATGAATTGACTGTGTGTGGCCAAGTGATTTATTTTTAATGTGACTAAACAAGAAACACACCTGCCTGGGGATAAGTAATTATATTGAATCATCAGCGGCTCAGAGGGCCATGTTGGCAAGGAAAAGAGCAGGGCTCTCAACCCGTTTGAACTGGATTAGTCATGGTTCATGAAGCCAAAGTGGGGCACACCCAAATTAGGGCTACTCACCGCAAGGTCAGCAGTTCAAAACCACCAGCTGCTCTTCAGGAGAAAGACAGGGTTTTCTACTCTCTTAAAGAGTTACAGTCTTGGGAACTCACAGGGACAGGTCTACCCTGTGCTTTAAGGTTGCTTTGAGTCAGCTTTGACTCATTGGCAATGAGTTTGTGGTTTGTTTTTTTTGGGGAGGGAGTGTGCCAGAAAATAAGTGGAACCATTCCTGTGGGGTCCAGAACCCAACAGGGCACCATTCTGGAGCAGATCTGGACACTTGACACCATTCAGGTGGGGTCCCTACCCCCCAGGGCACCATTCCGGTGGGGTGCAGGATTCTCAGGGATCGGGTGGGGTCCTGAGACACCCGGGGCACCGTCTGGCAGGTCCTGTACCTCTAGGACACCATTCTGGTGGTGTCCTGGGACCCTCGGGGTATCATTTGGGTGGGTTCCTGGACCCCATAGGTACCATTCTGCCAGGGTCCCAGACCCCTGCAGAGCATCATTCTGGCGGGTTCCCACCCACCTGGGCAACGTTCCATCAAGAACCATGACCCACCCCCTCACTGGCACCGTTCCAGGGCTCCAGACGGCTCAGGTACTGTTCTCAAGTGGTCCCGAACCCTTAAGTTCACCTTTCAGGTGGGGTACCAGATCCAGCAGGGCACAGTTCTGGTGGGGTCTCAGACCCCCCCAGGGCACCATGCTGGCAGGGATGGGGACACCCAAGGTCACTGTTCCGCTCACTTCTGGTGGGGTCCCTCGCGCCCATGGAAGAGTGTGCTTATATATGGCAGGATCCCGCACCTTCCCCAGAACGTGCTTCTGTGGGAGAGCTGGGAGACCCCCCAGAAGCATGATTCTGACTGAGTCTCACAGCCTTCCCAGATTGTGATTGCTGGGTGGGGGGCGTGGGGTGGTGGTGGAAGGGAGCTGGAAGCCCCTCTGAGCATGCTTCTGGCATGCTCCTGCAACCAACCCCCCAGTGTGCTTCTGTGTGGGAGCCGAAAGACCCAGAGAAGCATGAGTCTGGTGGAGTCCTGGTGCCGCACCCCCTAGCCCCCCAGAGTGTGCTTCTGTGGGAGAGCTGGGAGCTTCTGGCAGAGTTCCCCACCTCCCCCGGAGCGTGCTTTAGTGGGGGAGTAAGGATTGCCTACGATGCGTGCTGCTTCTGGGAACAAGTGAGAAAGATGCCTGTAGGGGGTCCAGGCTGATGGAACGATGTCGGGGGGGCCACTTCTCCCACAGGAAAAATGCCTGTGGGGGATCCGGGACGCCCACAGGAACCCAGCACAGGGGGTCCAGGACCCCACCGGAACCACGTGCTAGGGGGGTAAGGGTGGGGGATTGGGATCCTGCCGGAACAATGCTGGAGGAGTCCAAGACTAAATCAGAACGATGCTGGGGGCAGGGGGTCCAATACCCCGGCAGAATGATTTCAGGGGGATCCAGAACGTTGCCAGGGACTGGGGTTTCTGTACCCCACCCGAACGAAGTCCAGAACCTCACCAGATAAGGGGGTTCCAGTATCCCAACTGAACGATGCCCAAAGGGAAGGGGTCCCCTATCCTGCCTGAACGATGCCTGGGAGAGGGTCTGGCACCCCTCCGGAAAGATACCCGGGGGTGTCTGGGACCCCACCAGAATCATGCCCATGGGGTGCCATACACCACTTGCAAGATGCCGGGGCTCTGTACCCTGCCAGAAGGATGACAGGGGGGTCTAGTGCCCGACCGGAATGATGTTGGGGAGGGGGCAGCACCCAGCAGAAATGCTGCGGGGCAAGGGGGTGTCAGGATGGGGATTAGCATCCTAATCTCCAGATGAACAGGGAAACCTCCCTGAGGGTGTCAGGATAGGGGCTAGCACCCTAAATCCTCCACAGGAATGGAATCCTCTTCAGAGTGTCAAGATTGGGGTGGCACCCTAAACTCTTCGAGATGGATGGGGTGCCCAGATGAGGGGAGCGTCTTAGTCTCCACATGGGCACTGGAGTCCTCCCCGGGGGTGCCAGGAGAGGGGTTCAAACCTGTCCTCCATTCAATCACAACTGAGTTCTACACAGGAGGCCTGATAGTGCTTTCCATCCACTGAGCATGGAACTGCTGTCCAAAAGGTTGGCGGTTTAAACCCTCCAGGCATTTGGGGAGGGGGCGGGCGGAGAACGTTGTGACTACTTACGCCTGTAGAGAGTTGGAAAGGCTTTGGATATAGGATCATCATGAGTCGGAGTCACCCCGGTGGCGGTGAGAGCCATCACATGGCAAGACTAGACAGACTCAGGCACAGACAGGGAAAGACAGGTGCTGCGTGAGCTTCACCGAGGGACCAAGGAACGCCAGGGATGGGCAGAGAAGGAATTGATGGCGCCGCTACCCTGATCTGGACACTTAGCTTCCGGAACTGAGAAAACAAATCTGCATTTTAAGCCGTACACACGTGGCATCTCTACTAGAGCCGCACTAGGAAACGAGAATTAGGGAGCCCTGGCTACAAGCAGGCTGCGCACTGCACGGACAGCACTTCCAAGCCACCGGCCGCTGCATCCAACGAAGAGGCCTTGTTCTCCCAGAATGATGCAGACCCGGAATCCCCCCCTCCGGGGCAGTCCTACCCGGCCCTCCAGGGTCGCTCTGAGTCGGATTGACTCAGTGGCAGGGAGTTGATTTCGCAAGGGGAACCCAAGGCAGGGCATGGCGAGTGGGAAGACTCAGAGGCCGCCCAGGTTCTGGGCTGACAGCAACATGGGGCGGGACAGAAAACACAACACTGGCAGGCTACCTTTTATTCCTCCCAGGCAACCCGACCCGTGTGCCCCCGTGGCTAACTCTCCTCCGGTACGTGGAGCTGCTCCTTCACCCCACAGGCCACCACGGCGAAGAAGAATTCGGGGAGGAAGGTGCGGATGTACAGCGCAGCCTTGGGGATGGGATTGGCCATGAAGACTTCCTGCTTCTTCCGCCTCACGGTACGCATAACCTCCTCCGCCACCTCTACCGGGTGCACCCCATAGGTCAGCTTCCTGAAAAAATCTGAAACCCCCCAGGAATAAGCGGGGAGTGTTGGGGGGAGGGCTCAACCTCCGTGGGGAACAAGTGGCCAGAGCCCGCTGTCTGCAATGCTTAGAGTTAGGATGTCTGGGGTTAGGCCAACTGCCACGCTTGGCCCTGGAGGAACTCGCTACCCCTCTGTGCTTCAGCATCCGCCTCAGCAATGTGGCCCCGGTCTCTGCCCTGTGCCCCCCATAGGAAGGTGATGAGCAGCAGGCGAGAGCGTAGAAAACAAGGTGCCAACGGGGTTGAGGTGTTGGTGCTTGTAACTGTTGAAGTCCCACTTGTTAGGAGCCGAGTGGAACCGGTTGATCCGCTCCACGGCCTGGCCTCTCCTGGCTCTCTGATCAGAGGTTTACATTGGGAGTATTTTCAAAACTCCAAACTCATTGGCCATTGAGTTGATTCCAACTCAGAGCGACCCTGTGGGCAGGGCAGAACTGCCCTTGTGGGTTTCCTAGATTATAACTGTTCACGGGAGTAGAAAGCCTCGTCTTTCTCCCTTGGAGTATTCTAGAAGAAGAATGATAGAACACTTACTTTGTCCTAAGAACCCAGGTGGCATCAAGGATTATGCATTGGGCTGCTAATCACAAGGTCAGCAGTTTGAAACCATCAGCCTCTCCATGGAAGAAAGGTGAGGCTTTCTTGCTCCAGTAAATAATTCAAACAAACATAGAGTCACTTCCGACTCATAATGACCCCACAGGAAAGGGTAAAACGACCTCTGTGGGTTTCCAAGACTAACTCTTTACTGGAGTAGAAAGTCTCATTTTTCTCTCTCAGAGTAGCTGGTGGTTTTGAACTATTGACCTTGCTGATAGTAGCCCAACACATAAGCACTATGCTACCAGGGCTCCTCTGGTAACGATTTACAGGCTCCGAAACCCAAAGGCAGTTAGTTCTACCCTGTCCTGTAGGGTCACTGTGAGTCGGAATTCACTTGATGGTGGAGGTTACTGCCCCACACCTTTACAGCAGCCACCTTTAGTTAATCCTCCCGACACTTGACCAGGCCCAGGTGAGTTGACGCTGACTCACGTGTGTCAGGGTGAAACTGTGCCTCATAAGGTTTCAATGGCTTAGAGTTTGGAAGCAGATCACCAGGGCTTTCTTGCGAGGTGCCTCTGGGTGGACTTGGAGCCCCCACCACCACCACACCCCCGCTTCTTAGCGAGCAGTGAGCACTTAGCCATTTATTTACCCCCTCCTCCCGAGGGACTCCTCCAAGAACTTTGTGCCACGGGTGCTGCCACTAACCCTCATTTTCTAAAGGGGAAACTGAGGCACAGAGCGAGGCAAGGGACTTGCCTATGTAAACACCTTACATGTGGTAGAGGCAAGCCTAGGGTGGACTGAACCTCTACCTAGGGCTGCCTTCGAGGAGAAGAGGAGAACATAAAGGTTTCGGAGAGCAACTCTGGTTGCCAATATGAGAAACTGGGGCTCCGAGACAGGCAGGGATGTAACCAAGGCCACGGAGCTGTGGGGTCCAACCAAGCCTTGATCCATTGGCTTACACATTAGACGTCTCTGCTTGGTGCCTCCGAGTTTATCTTTTGAGACTCCCTGCTCCCCACCCCTCGCCTTGCTGGTAGCTGGCTGTCCAGGTCCCACCCCCTCCAGCCCGGTGCTCCCAGAACCCCCTTGTGTCCAATGAAAGCAGACCGGAAATCTGACCCTCCCATCCCTACCGCGCTCCCCTGCCCCCAGCTTCCCGCTGGAGTCTCACATTTCCAAATGGAGGGCTCCCAGTTGCCCTGGCCCGGGTACGAGCGGATGAACGTGGGGCTCACGGTGCTGACAACCACGTCGTACTCCTCCACTTCCGCCCGGAGGCAGTCAAAGAAGCCCAGTGCCGCGTGCTTGGAGGCTGCGTCTGGGGAGAGACCAGTCAGAGCTGACGCAGGGCCTGCCCCAGCCCTGCTGCCCAGGGTGACCCTGGGGACAAGAAGAGTCAGGTGGCACAGCCAGAGGTGGCAGAGTCTGGGCTAGAGGCCAGGTCAAAACCCAAACCCACGCCGCACAAACCAAACTCACTGTTGTCGGATCAATTCTGACTCATAGTGAACGACTTTATAGGACGGAGTAGAACTTCCCTGGGCTTTCCGAGGCTGTACACCTTTCGGCAAGCCTCGTCTTTCTCCCATGGAGTGGCTGGTGGGTTCAAGCTGCAGACCTTGTAGTTGGCAGTGCAACATGTAACCCGCTCTGTCACCAGGGGTCCATTCACACCCGCTCCAACTTCAAACTCACTGCCATTTTAGTTGATTCCGACTCACTGTGACCCGATAGGACAGGGTCGAACTGCCCCTGTGGGTTTCTGGGACTGCAACTCTCTATGGGAGTAGAAAGCCTCCTCTTTCTCCCATGGAGTGGCTGGTGGGGTTGAACTGCCGGCCCTGTGGTTAGCAGCTCAATATGTAACCACGATACCACCAGGGTCCACTAGGATGGTTGTAAGGCAAAAAGGAGACAACCCCGAGTGCTGACGAGTCTGGGGAGAATGAAGGACCAGGGTCTGCACTGCTGGTGGGGCTGTAAAACGGGTCCAGCAATGCCTAGCTCTTGAACGTAAATGTATCATACAAAACATACCCCAACCCCACGACATGCACACATGTTCAGGGCAGCATTCGTCAGTCATACAAGAAACAAACAAACCAGGAAGCAATCCGTGTCCCTCATCCGACAAGTGGATGCATAAAACATGACATAGAGAGCCGTAGCATGGAGTAAGATGCAGTCACAGGACGGACAGTGCAGGTGCAGGCTGCACTGCGGATTGCCCCACGTAAAAAGCCGCATGTACTGTGTGCCTGGGACTGAGCTCGTAGGTCCTGCCCTGCAAGGCTAACCTTCCCATAGAAAGCCGGTCAGTGGGCCTGGGGAGAACCGGGAATTGAACACTGAGAGCAGGGTTTCCTCTTTGGGGTAATGAAGCTATTCTAATTCAAACTGGAGGGGATGCCCAACTCAGAGTAAACGAAAAGCCATTGAATTGACTGCTTAACATGGGCAAATTAATGTGACATGAATGATCATCTCCATAAAGTGGTTACCAAAAACATTTAAGAAGGGTTAGCGGCTTTATCAGAGTTATCCGATATCAGCACAGTGACCACCCCATCGATTCCTTCACTCTCCCCACATGTGTGGGGCAGTTGCTCTTGGAGAGGAGCTGAGTGTAAGGTGGGGCAGGGGTAGCTCTGCCCTTCTGGGGTCCGCCTGGAGTCATTTCCAGGTGGTGGGGCTAGTGCAGGGAGAAGGGGGTATGTCTGTGACATGCTTGCTGTCTGCTGAGGTCCCCAAGCCTCTAATCTCCCTACCTGATCACCGATAGATAACGCTGGTCACTCCAGGCCCTCCCACCAGAGCCCCAGAGCTTGCCGGAAGTCTCACTGGAAGGGAGAAGGGGGTTGGGGGTGGCCTGGCCCAGGGTGACATGCCTTTAGGTCTGATGTTTACACAGGGAACTCATATACTCGTGACGTCCTTGGTTGAAGAAGTGAGGGGCAGAGCCAGCCTCGTCAACTTTCTTGGTCCTCGCTGATGTAAACACTCTGGGGAGACCATGTAGGTTGGTGACCAAACAAATAAAAGGAAGAAACCCCCCAAACTCACTGCTATTGAGTCAGGGCCTGACCCTATCGGGCAGGGCAGAACTGCCCCTGGGGGTTTCTGAGACTCTAACTCTTTTATGCGAGTGGAGAGCCTCTTCTGTTTCCAGAGGAGTGGCTGGTGGTTTTGAACTGCTGACCTTGAAGTTAACAGCCCCACCTGTCACCCACTCTGCCCCGAGGGCTCCTCTGATGACCAAAGGGACCAATGGAATGCCCATACTTTGTGCATCATACATGCCACTTCTGTGTCTTGAACACCCAGATTTAAGCATTCAATTGTTTCTTGAATGAATGGAGGGACAGGACAAGAAAAGTGAGCTTCTAAAAATAGCACCCAACCCAACCCAACCCAACCCAACC